TTTATTCTAGTAAAGGAGTTAGGCAATAAAACAAATGAATAACAAGATTATTTCAGAGAGTAATAAGCGCCTGGGAAAAAGGCTAGCCACTGAAGATCGAGCGATTAAAAACAACGGGATGATGCTACTTGGCTGGGCAGGCTATCTACTCTTTAGTATAAGATTATCTAGTGTCGGTTTTTTTCCATGAAAAGCTTCTCTTTGCAATCGCATATCTTACTGCCACTAAAATATAAGGGTGGCTAAAAATTTGAGTCGTCAATTTTAACATTTCTATGACGGCAACAGCTAAATAATGGTTTTTAGATGAATATTAAAGGTTACCTACTCACGTCTAAGGAAACAACCAAATGACTACTTGATTTTTTCTTTTCATCCATATGATATGGCACTGGTCAGAAACAAACATTCTACTTGTACTCATTTTACCATTTCAATACGGGAAGAACAGTCTTCCCTTTATAAAATCACCCCTGATTAGTATATTGCATCCATACTGGGTTCTCCCTAGAGATGGGATGGATTTTATTTTCATTAAAGTATTACAGACAACTTTTATTTGGTTCTTCTAAGAAGCCAATAAATAACTGCTGTCCTGGAAGACCCAGGAGGAAAGTCATGTTGCAGTCAGAGGCTTTGCATCCGAATGTGTTTAGAGGCCAACACCTAGCACATCTATGATGGAAGTTACTTCAATTGCTGAACACCCTCACATGCGCACACACACACACACCACAGGGGACATAGGAACCACAGAAATCAAAAGGAAGAAAATAGAGAATATTTGAAAAAATAAACTTGAAAGTTCAAAAAGTATATATCTTGATTCAACTACTATCCAGAGAAGTGAGGGAGGGGGGAGAGGGATACAGCCTGGAATTGGGCTTAAAGATACATGCCTTTTTTACTCAAATAAGTAAAAAAACATGTTAAAAACGAGAAATCTTTGAGGTGAGGAAGTTTTTGTGGAGAAGAGATAAAGATGGTTGCTATCATGCTTTTGCAGGTAAAATCATCCTTTAAAGTGTGCCATCTGCAGACATTTTGATAATGCAGAAGTCCACATTTTTCCCATTCCATTTTTTAGGTGACTAGAAAGACACTGTTGAAAGCATTTCAGATCCACAGTTACAAAGGCACAGTGGCTACTGACATTCAAAGTACTCACTCCGTGTAGCGAGGTGGCCTTGGAGAGCATTTTTTTTCTTTCATAGCATATACGTGTTCCCTAATTACCTCAGAGGGTGGAGTGATACACTGACTTTCACAGCACTTCGAAGGTCTTGTAGCCAAGAAAGATTGAGGGGTGCCCATGTTAGTTTCTCCTGTGTTGCTTCTACCTCAGAGAGCATAAAAAAATAGAAGAATTTCAATTTCATGGAGTATTTCTCATTTGCATCTGACATTAGGTTAACCTGAACATCTTAATTTCTAAAAGTTTGTAAGTACCAATTTCATAATTCCAAGGAAGAAGCAGGCATTTTTCCTATTTCAGAAAGAGATTTGTCTAACTCTTACCATATTTTGCATAGAATGATATTAAAAGCACATTAAGCAAGAGAAAAAAAAAGAAATGAGTTTTTTTGTTAGAAATTAGAAAATATAATAATTTTCTGCCATTCTCCTGAGCACTGGAAAATTATGGCAGGTTTTTAGATCTCATACCTGGATATAGTAAGCACTTAACTGAATTTTGTTGAAAGAATGAACTAATGAGTATAATTCTGAAATAATGTGAGGTTTCTTGCCTTTAAAAGCCTACTTTCAGGATAGTGGATTTGTTAAAAGGTATATATTCAGTTCATAAGCAGTTCGCGTAAATTTTTTTTCAACTTTTTATAAAGTACGTCCCAGCTGGGCATGGTGGGAGTAGCAATGACCCAGGAGTTCAGAGATCTTGACCCTAGGCCAGGCGCCAACAATAAATGGCAGAAGGCTTGAAAAAAGAACTTCACTCCTCTGGGTTTCAGTTTCCATGTGAATGAAATGATTGGTTTGGAGCAGGTGACTGCTGATAGTCCATGCAGCTTCAAAATTCCACAACTGAATAATTCAAATTAAGGAAAATTGGATCGAAATTTAATAAACATTGACATAGTATCTACTATGTGCCAGGTAATATTCTAAGTGCTTTACACAGTATGTAGGCATATAATAATAGTAATTAAGCATATACTATACAAGGGGTAGCATTTCCTACCCTGCAAACTGCAAATGATAGTTGCTATTAAAATGACAGAAATTTTATTAAAATTCAATTTAGTATGAATCATCAAAAAACCAAAATAGAAATAAAATAATACTTGGAATCGAAAATAATATAAGAATAAAGTAGTTATTCCATTTAAACCATTAAATAAAATGTATATGGCTGAAATAAGTGATCTAATTTTTATTTGACCTGAAAGAATATACTAGCCATGACATATGACTTCACATCAGTCTCACTGCAAATAATCTGGCTTTTGTGAACTTGAATGTTCTCACACATATTAAATTATATGGAAGAAAACTTTTATTAAACAAAAAACATTCTACCAGTATCATGTCTGAATATAATATTCATTGTAAATATTTCAAGTGCACAATTCATTTTAGAAAAATAAGCTAGAAACTGTTGTATGATCACACAAAGGCATATTTCAGGAATGCAGTGGGCACATGGTTGTCTGTAAGCTTAGAACAGCAAATAATACAGTGAAGGAAAGTTTGCTTGGGAGATACTAACAGGCTTCAATCCCTGGGCCTTGTAGTAGGTCCAGATCTCAAGCTAAAGGCCTAGAAATGGATGGAAATTTGGCAAGCCCTGCAATTTCCATGTCTGGATATGTTGTGTGGGCCCTTGTCCTACTGCTTGAAACTGCCGAGACTCCACGCATTTTCATCCCGTCTTAGCACCTCCTCTGCTTCTACTCATCCTTTATGGCCAAACTCCAGCACATTCCTCTAAGAAGCTTGTCCTGAGCCAAACCCCCTGCTCCCCTCGAATGTTCCCCACCCACACAAAGCATTGATTAAGTCCCCACCTTTATGCTTCTATAAAACCTGGTATAAATCTCTAAGATATTTCAATTATTCAGCCCACTAGGTTATGTTACATTGTTGGCGCATAGTCTTTATCATTCAGTGAACTTGGAGCTTTTTGAGAGCAGGAACTATATTTAATTCATTGTTGGGTCCCCCAAGTCTTGCACAGTGCTTGATACAAATGACATCCTTAAGAACTGTTTGTTAAATGAATGAATGAATGAGCAGATGACAGCAATAACTAGCATTTACTATTAAAATGGTTTGAACCGTTGGATCTCCTTCATGCATTATAATTGGTTAGAAAATGTGGTGAGAACTGACTGTGTTTCAAGGGAGGCAGTGGAGTGAGCGATGTATTTCTTGCAAATTTGTGGAGTATTTTTGTAATCAACAATTTGGTTTAGGTCATCCTTTTTTCCTCCTTACTCTGAGAACAGTAGAGAAATTGGGGGAAAATGAAACATAAATTTAAAAAATCTATTCAACAGGTATTTACTGAACATCTATTTTCCAAGGTGATATGTTTCCTGGGCAGACCCAGATTCTATCCTCAAAGAGACAATAGTTTAGATATTTAAGAAACTCAGGTAAAGGAAGAAAGTGATACATGACATCAAAGAGACCAATGTTTCCTAAAATGAAAAAAATGTAATAAAGGTCACACAAAGGTCAGAGATGTCAGAGATAAATTGGCTGGATTCCCAAGATGCCCCCACCAGGCAGAAGAGCTAGGTTGGATCGTCATGGCTCAAAACCTGCTTTCAGCTGTAAAGGTCCTGGACCCAGAGATGGTCAGATCCAAGGAGATTGGCATACACACACACCAAGCTTACTGGAGCTTGAAAAACCAAAAGACTAATGACCAGGCCAACTGGAAAGTTAATTATGATTTAAACATGGACTCAGAGTAAAGGGAGCTGGATGGTACTGGAGATGCTTCAGTCACACAATGCAAATGCAAATGTACCAGCCTGACTTCCCATATGGTCTTTTTCTCCAAGAATCAAAGACCAGATCCAGTATTTCCCCTCTTGGTATTGGATAAATAGAGGACCTGGTGGATACAGGTATATGCCATAAATGGTAACTATCATGGGATTTCAGAAGGCTAAAAGATGACATTTAGTCATAGACATAAAGGAAAGCTTTATGGAAGAAGTGGTATTTCGAAAATGCCTTAAAGACTGCTTAGAGTTTACAACTGTGAATTGGGGAAGAACATTCTAAATAGAGGGGAGAGCATAAGCAAAGAAAGTGAGTGGTTCATTTTTGCTGGACATAGGGTATGTGGTGGAGAATAGTAGACTATTATGAAGGAATGCTGGAACCAGGTCATGGATGGGCTTGAAAGCCAGTCATGAGGTTTAATGTTATTCTTTGGGCAATGGGGAGTCATAACAGAGAAAAAGCACTGTACTCCAAGAAAATGAATTAGACTGCAGTGTGTGAGTTGGCTTGAAGAGAGAGATCCCTTATGCAGAGGCCATTGGGAAGCTTCAGAATCCACGTGGGAGGACTAAAACTAAAACAGTAGCAGTATAGGTAGAACAGAGAGAGACTGAACGGTACAGGAAGTACCATGATTTTTTCCTTACACACTAACATATGCACACATACATGCTCACTCTGAAGCAAAATATAAACCTATAAGCTGTATAACCAATGGTAAAATTAGGACAGTTTTACCTGTCCTAATTTCTATGAAATTCTCCATTTATAAAAAATATAAGATTAAAAAATCATTGATCCATTTAGCCAATTTGATTGATTTCGGATTGTCTAAGTATCAAATTGGATAAAAATGAGATTTTAAAAGCGTCAACATAGTAGGTATCTATACCTAAGGGACAGATTAAAGGTAAAGAAAAAGTATCCTAAGTAAATTTTCTTGTCTCTGAAAACATCCAGGTGATTTCTCCAAATAGACACTCTTTCAAACGTTTTCTAACATTAGCTAACTCAACTCACAGGAATGCTGCAGAAAACAGAAACAGGAACTTTGTGAGAAGTTTGATTACCTGTATGGCATCCTGGAGGAGAGGAAGAATGAAATGTCCCAAGTCATTACCCGAACCCAAGAGGAGAAACTGGAACACGTCCGTGCTCTGATCAAAAAGTATTCTGATCATTTGGAGAATGTATCAAAATTGGTTGAGTCGGGAATCCAGTTCATGGATGAGCCAGAAATGGCAGTGTTTTTGCAGGTAAGTCTCCTGTTGGCGCCAGAGGAATCTAACCGTGAAGGTGGAGAATTAGTTGTCACATTTTTGTTATTTTATGTACGTCTCATTTTGATCTATTTTACCAACCAAAATATAAGCCCATTATGTGCTTATTTTTCTGTCTGTTTAAATAATTTCATAATCATATATTTAAGGGACCATGACACTGCTTAAACGTAAGAGGGTTGTGGTATAAAACAGCAGTTATCTATAGCACTTAGAAACTAAGCTATGAGATTTTCAGAGTCAGCAAAGGAAAGAATTAAGTCTCAACACCATCTTTGATGAAAAGAATTTAAGTAAGCCTGTCTTTTGTTTGCTTTCACAGAATGCCAAAACTCTGTTACAAAAGTAAGTAATTTTCATTTTATGGAAAAATGCATACTTTTCATTTTTACTCGAGGCTGTAAGACTTTAAACAGTGACAGAAAGTAACAACTTGTCTTTGTTGCAGAATTTCTGAAGCATCAAAGGCATTTCAGATGGAGAAAATAGACCATGGTTATGAGAACATGAACCACTTCACAGTCAACCTCAATAGAGAAGAAAAAATAATACGTGAAATTGATTTTTACAGAGGTTTGTTATTCTTGTGACCATTTGGCCAAAATTGCAGGTGTGTGAAAGCTGCAGAAGGGTTCAGTGGGAGGAAAGGGGGATTCAGAATCACTTCCAGAATGGATGTCGACAATTTTACAAGGATTATAATCCAATGTGAAGCTCTATGTCATTCCAGAATCATATAGTTTGTTGACAGTGTTTATTTAGTGCCTATTACAATGCCATTATTGGCATGATAATTTGACTCTGAGTAGTCAAATACTTAATCATTGATGGTAATGATGATATCTCAGCTTCAACCCTACGCAAGGTGTTAGCCACATGATGTAGTGTCATTAGGTGCAAGGTTAAAGATGAGATAACAATAAAACATTTCTGACATTTGGATAGATATTGTAGCATATCCATTTAATCAAACTTTAGAGGGCAAGAATAGTAATGAGTCACAGAATAATTCACAACCTGGAAATAAAACTGAGTCTTTGTGACCAGATGTCTTCCATGAGTTACAAATGCATCCCTACCATTTGGGCCAGAAATCCCACCCCTGGAAATTTATCCTGATGAAATAATTGAAAAGAGAAAAATAACCTTGGAGCTGACCAAAACTTCGTCTTGATTCATCCTATCCCATCTAGATGACAAGTCTCCTTAGCTAGATCACTAATAATGCCATGAAGCTGTATCAGTGTCCACAGATGTAACTTTAGAAGCAAATCTTCAGGATGGATCTTGTTTAAAAATTACTTAATATTGTCAGTCCTTAATATTGCCTGAGGGAATATTAAGATCATGGGTTAGGAAAAGAGTCATGGCATTAATTGTGGCAAAAGTTGGTATTCACTGATCAAAGGAGGTAAGAAATTAAAGCAAGACATGGGGTTTGTATGTTTTCTGAGATAGAGAGGAGAGTTGCATTTCCATTTAATTTGACAGAGATAAATAAGTGACAATCCCGGCCCTCCAGGAGCTTACAGATGTGACAGAGTATGATAAATGTGAACAGGCTCTGGGAGGTGGATGGATGGTTCACAGTGGTGGTGAGGACTGCGCTTTGTACTGGGGAGGGAGCAAGGAGGAAGGTGATGATTTGGTCCTCCTTTACATTTGTCCTGTCCACATTTAACTAGAAGCACAAAGCCCCAGCACAGCATACTTGGGCGATTGTCAAGTGTCTGATGGAGAGGATTTCTCTAGCTCTGACCTTAACCTGGGTTTTAAGTACTGGCCATTAATTGTTTTCATGGCTGCAGTGGTCATTATAATGATTTAAAAAATACATTACCTTACCAGAAGATGAAGAAGAAGAGGAAGAAGAAGGAGAAGAAGGAGAGGGAGAGGGAGAAGGAGAAGGAGAACGAGAAGGAGAAGGAGATAGAGAAGGAGAAGAGGTAGTGGAAGTGGAAAAGGTAGACAGTTTTCGAACAGAGTCATCAGGAGCAGATGAAAGTCCAGAGAAAGCCTCGGAGCCCTCTCAGCTGGCCTCAGAGCTCCAGGCTCCCTCAGAGCCACTTCCAGTTTCCTCTCCAGAGCCACCTGCAGCCCTGCCACCTGCTGCCGATGCCCCGGGGACACAGGTAACTGTTCCTGAGTTCCTTCCTACAGGACACTGAGCTGTACCTCCTTGCTGAACAGCCTAAGCAATTTATTCTACCTTAAGAAAAAGGTGACTATATGCCAAACATTTGTATGTGGAAAACAAAAGATTTCAGGGCAGTCACAGTGTCAGGGAGAAATGTCCTCTAGGTGATTCAATAGGTTTGTTGTTGTTATAACTGGTTGACAAGACTTAGTTCAACATGATTTTCCCACCAATAACACCCTCAAATCTGAGATGATCTTTGTCTGGAAATTGTGTATGTGTGCAACATGTTAGTTCATAGAGAGCCGGTATCATGAGGATTGGATCTGCTCTGAATACAGATATAGGGTGTAGGGTGAGAAATAATACAGAGTGAGAAATAAAAATGATTTTACTTTCAGATCTTTAAATTTTTTTGTAGATAAAAAGGAAGTAAATAGAGAAGCCATGCTAGTTTATGTCCCTATTACTTACCTTGATATACAACTAAGTCTTTCGTTTAGTGGGCAAACAAATGAAGCCTAGTTTTCTATGTATTTGTCATTTGATGAGATTATGTGTTGACAGAATTATTTTTAAAATTTCTTAGGAAATTAGCTTATCTCAGATGCTGTACTTGGTTGGCTGACCTTATGTTTCTAAGATGTCACCAGTTTTCATATCTATGTGCCGACTCCCTGACACCTTCAGCAGACAGGTCCCAATCTGTTGAGTTTGTGGGCCATGCAGACCCAGCAAAAAGGAGCCTTGGTTTTGTACCTGCTTTCAAGGTGGATCGAAATTATCTACAGAAACCAAACCTCAGCGGGGGGACTCAAAGATGGAATTATATTCTATGTTCTGTCTCCATAGGAAACCAGGCTAAAATACTGTTTATAGTTCCTAGAATCTTGAAATTCTGGGTATACCAATTGCACTGAAATTGAAAGAGATGTGATAACTAGATGAGATTTGGATTTGATCAATAAGACCAATTTTTGGTTTTAGAAAAGAGGTTTTGGGGGCCCACACATAATGTCAAAAATTAATTCTGGTGAATAGTTTGACCTTTCTCCCATATCTGATATTTTATAAGCAACCTTTATTTTAGGCTTCTGCTGTCTGCCTACCATCTAGTGACAGACAAGCCTGGAAAAGAAGAAGGGGCACACACAGATGCCAAGGCAGGGGACACTGTCAGCATTCCTTCCTTAGCGCTTGCGGGGGGTGGACTGAATCAAACACGCACTACATGAGGCACTGCACAGAGAGCTCACAGTTTCAAACCAAAGGGAACTAAAATCAACTGCTTTTTTCTTCTTCTTCTTTCTTTTTACCTTTGAATTTATCTGTCCTGATAAAGGGGGAGGTTGTGCCCACTGGCTCTTCGCAGACCACAGAGTCTGAAACTCCAGTCCCTGCAGCAACGGACACTGCGGATCCCTTGCTTTACCCTAGTTGGTATAAAGGCCAAACTCGGAAAGCCACCACCAACCCACCTTCCACCCCAGGGAGCGAAGGTCTGGGGCACTTAGGTCCTCCTGGTTCTGAGGATTCGAATGTGCAGAAAGCAGAAGTGGCAGAAGCCGCAGCCAGTGAGAGGGCAGCAGTGAGTGGTAAGGAAACTAGTTCACCTGCAGCTACTTCTCAGGTTAGTGTTGATGCTCTTGTGTCTGAATGCTTCCCTTTGTCACCCAGGTTCCTGCTGGAACCGCAGCAAGAAGGAAGGGCTTCCAAAGGGGCAGAGAGAAACGGTGGCCTTGGGAGAAACAGAAACAACTCACCCCCCAATGTTGGCTTGTGGTTTAAGCCTTATATTGGCTTGTTTTTAAGCCTTACATAAAAGAAAAAAGAAAAAAACTTGACTTCACTTTGCCCGTGCGTGGTGACCTCACACCTGGCTTTCCAGGGGAGCGGAGCAAGCAAGCCTGGCCCTTAGGCATGCAGTTGAAAGCTGCTTTGTCTGCAGTGACTGGCTGGTGTCCCTGGTTCTCCTTTGCAAAGGCCACTTGCCCTTGCTCAGCCTTTTCTGTGTCCTCCTTGAGCTTCCAAAGACTAATCTTTTGTGTCGTTCCTAGCAACCGCCAAGGAGCACGTTTGAATTGAGTTTTAAGTCTGCTCTGGAAAATAACCTCTGGTTCATGGATTCTGGGAGTGTGCTGGCTACAGCTAGACAAAAATAGTCTTGGCTTGATTAAACCAGTGCTTCCTGAGCATGTTCCTGAGAGCAGGAAAGCACAGGTTTTCCTCCATTGGATTTTTTTAAAGGGTCACTTAGTCCTTTTTTTTTTCTCTTTTTGTAATGAAAGTCTGAAGTCCTCATCTTCTTCCTAACACTGGGTTAGATATTTGCATGGCTCAAAGATTCCATAGAAGAAATCTTCTACAATTTCTTCACAAGAAAGAATGTTCATGGTTAGTGCATACCAATGAGCGTTCTTAAATGATATGTGGGTGTGAGTGTCGCCCAGACAAGGGGCTGTCAGAGAAATACTCTCTGGTTCTCTGCTCCTGAGTCATTAGGGGATTATGATCAACAAACAGCATTTTTTCAAAAATCAGAAAATTACTTATTATCTTGACTGTATCTGCTCATAACATCAATTTCATGAGGTAATAAAAGAAAATGATTTTTGGAAAATTAAAAGTAACATGCTTTTGTGCCATGTATTTATTTTCACAGATGAAAGATGACAAAAATAAATGTTTGGTGTGAGGAAACTTTTTGAGGTAGTTTTAAGGTTAAAAAATGGATTAGAAAGTTTCCTAGAAACTTTATGGGAACTTTTTTTCTAGAAAGTTTATGGAAATTCTTACAAAGTTAGTGGAAGTGGAGTGAGGAGGAGCTGTTTTCTGAAAACAGTAGTGAAATATCCCATAATAAGAGCATGTAATAGGGCTTCAAACCAAAATGAAAAATCCATCTAAATGGTGTTGAAAAATATTATTTGTGATAATATCAGTGAAGCTTTCTTCTTGTTTTCTCACAGGAGTTAGGAATCTGCCTAGCACTTGTGGCTTGTCTTATACTTCACTACATCTGGCGTCAGATTCAGTGCTTGATTTTTACTTTAATGGGTAGGAAATATTTTCTTTTCCCTTGACTAACATCTCGTGTAGTTTCTTCCGTAATGTTCCTCTTCTGTAAGTCCAGAGATGAATTTCTCCCCAACTTTGAGGCTCGCCATCTAAAAAGAACCAAATTCTTAGACAATACTCATGGCCTCAAGCTCCCTACATGCAGTGGCCTCAAGGCACCTTCCTGAGGAGAATTGCTCCATTATCTAATCCTGCATGGAGGGGAATCCTGACTCAGAACAGTGACTCAGTGGGCAATTATTCAGTAATCCAGTAGGAGTAGACCCTCCAAAATGGCCACTGGGAAGGCCAGTTTCAAAAGGTCTCCATAATGCTGTGAGGATTCACTGCTCTTAAAGTAGAGGGAGGAGCAGCAAAGGACTTGTTCAGGAATATGTAGGGTTTCCATGGATTAAGTAGCAGCATTCCATCTGCTTACACCAGAGGTGCCCAGGAGGCGGCCAGATGATTCCTGTCAGGGATACCAGGCAGTTCTTGCACTGGTGGGCAAGTGGACTAGGTGACTTCTCCTTTCTCTTTGAGAGTCTCTGTAGTGTCTCTCCTGGGAGAGGAGGGCCCTAAGGGAGAGATCCCCTGGGTGCAGCAACAGCAGGGAGATTGCAGCCAGGTGAGATCTGAATGAATCAGAGCCAGAAGATCAATGTTTATCTACCAGCCATGAAAAATTAGAACCAACAAAAAGTCATACAGCCAACAAACAGCATATTATTTTTAGACACCTTTCTCATAGTCAAGCCTTTTCTTGATTCCTGTTTTGAGGTTTGCTTAGGGACTGACATCTTACTCCTTTAATAACCTTTGAATATTATCAGTTTAATAATATTTAAAGATTCAAACCCCATGTACTTTTGAGTAAATGACTCTGCTTGACCTGAGACCCAGCTCCCTGTGCCTGTAGCTCAGAAGCAATTCAGAGTGACTGGTGCTGAACGGCCTCAGCTATTTCTGGCTCATTGACTTTTCCCTGGGTTGACATTGACTCTTCTGGAAGCTCCCATCATAGTTTCTTTCTGCCTCATTAGCTGTCTGCTCAGCAATGGCGATAGGATCTCCATGGGTCCCTGTCATGTCTGTAACTGTGTATGAGTAGGACCTGCCCCAATGTCTAATAGTCAGCCAGAAACCTGCACACCCTAGAAAGTTCTGAGTGTCCTTATAGTCTGCTCAGATGTATAACTCCTCCTCCTGTCATTATTTGTGGTGAAGAGTGGTGGGAGGAAGTTTTGGCCATGGACTCGGTGGGACAAATGGAGAGAGAGAAAACTCTGTGCTTTATTGGAATATCCTAATCGTGGATCTGAATAATTGTCTGAAGAGTTCAGTTTATATTCTGAGAATTCAGGTTTGGGGCTTTGTCACCATCTATTCTTGTAATGCTTCTCTGAGGCTGCAGGGGAGAGTCATCCTTCTTGTCTACCATCCACTGAGCCCATGTCATACACGCTGACAGTCACATGCCTGTCTGGTGAGATGAGTGTGAGACAGGTGGGGGCGGGGTAGAGTAGGGTGAATTGACATTCATTGTTGCAAAGACCCTTGTTTGTTTAGTTCTCAGTGTTTGAGAAAGGTCCTTTCACGTAACAAAGAAAACCTGTTCATGATGGAGTAACCCTTTCTGATCCCTGAAAGGGAATATGGACAGATCAGTAGAGACCTCACCATAGTATCAGAGTCCTAGCCTCTGAATTTTTTGCAGGCCTCGTTCCTCTTCACCACCTCAGAACCTAACTCACTAGATTAATATTTGTCCAATGCAAGGTTAGCTTGTTGGAATTTTGTGCTTCATCATTAGTCTTTCCCTGAACATTTAGGATATGAAACAAAAGTTCTCCTTGAGTTACTGGTGGCCTTACCTCTCTTCACTATGTGATCCCCTGTCAGGCAATGAGGTTGCCTTAGAAACTCAGAAGCATCTCAGGCTCACTTGCTGCTCTGTAAACTCACCTCAGCCCCCATCAGCAGAACCGCAAACCTTTTAAGAAGGCAAATGTTCTGTTTCCAGGTGCTTTCCTCATAGCCATTCACACAGTGAAACCTGCCCTTGCTTTTACTGCCTGTGATTTCTGGTGCCATACGATCTCTACTTTATCAGGTACCTTCTCTCTTCACCTAATCACCTAGGCAGATTGTGTGTTAGAAACTGGTCATGGCAACAACGTGAGCTCTCTCCATGGTGGTGAACGGGGACTCTGCTTTTTGTAGATCAGAGGAGCCTTGTTGCCTTCCCTGCCTTCATTCTCAAAGAAAAAAATAATTTCTCAACAAGGTCTGGATTCAGCCCTATGGCAAATTTGGATCTCACAGAAAGCCCCGGTTCCCATTCATCCCCCTGCAGGACACACTTTGAACCCTGTCATGCCCTATTCCTCTCAGAAAACCCCTGTGGAAGAGGTCACAGGTCACACTGCAGAGCCCCTCTACACGAACCAGTCTTTAGCTGCAAAATCACCCTCTGAGTTTCCACCCTTTTGGGCCATGCCTGCTGTATGCTCAATCAGTGCAAAGAGAGTTTGGTAGGAATAACATTTGATCTACTTTATGTGTGAATTTTTAAATTTATTTTGAAAAAATTTCACCACTCCCCAGTCAACCTCAGAAGACAGGGCAATAATAAGGTGGGGAGAAGGACTCTGTGAAACAGGTCGGCTGTCCTTGGAAAGCAGTCTCTTGAGCCTCGTCTCCTGGGCATGCCTCATTGTGGCGATTTCCCGGTCCAATCTGCTTCCATCCACTGCCCTTCCTCTTCCGATGCTATTTTCATGCAAATACACCTGGGTGTCAACACAGGGACCACCCCCACCCCCCACCGCCATGGACAATTGAGTAGTTTATTGGGAATATATGTGGCAAGTAGATTTTTTCAGAAGTGGGAGCAGCAGCAGTGAAAGCCCCTCCCTGTTCTCCTTCCCCCCTTCCCAATGAGGCTTAGTGGCCTTGTGTGGAGGAATTTGTCCAAACCATTTATTGGGAGCTCTTCAGGGAATAGGGATGTCCAGAGAAATGTCTCCCTATTTGATGATTAATTTGGCAGCTGCTCTGGCTGATACTTGAGCTGGACGAAGGCAGCTGCCTCAAGGTCAGAGGACCCCTCCCCCCCCACCATGAGAGCCAATTGCTTTGGAGATAGGGAGTTTGATATTAAAATCTCTGCAATTTCTGCCTCTATAAAGAACCACAGCTCATATATTTCACCAGAGCATGAAGTTGTAGTTGTAAGAGACCCTAAAATCTTTACCATATCATAGCTGTTCATTGTTCCAAGAATAGAATATCCACTTTTCACATTCCATTCTCCAAGTCTGAAAACAGATAAACAAGTTGGGTAGAAATTCTGCTAAGGCTCAGGGTACTGGAAAGATGAATGAAATCAGGAAAACGGACTTAGGTTCCAGAGCTGCCACTTCTGCATCTGACTCTGGGCGTTTAATTTCTTTGAGCCTCAGTTTTCTCACCAGGAAAATGAAGCAACTACTCAATGAAAAGATTCATCTATTTATACAACATTACAGAGCGAAAAATCTAGTACTAAGAATTTTATAAATTATTTCAGGATGTTTTCATGGGGAGGGTTACTTAGGCCTGAGACAAAGCATTCTAAGTCACAGTAATAACAATAGATTCTCAGTGAAATAGATAGCCCATTGCATTTCTCAAAATATATTTCTTGCCTTGAAACTCTTACATAAATCTCATTTCCCAAACAGTTTTCCAAATCTCCTCCTAGGCAACCATTTAGCTGAATGTTTACACAGCTACTATTACCCCTTTGATGCCATAAACTCCAGAAAATCCACGATGGCTCACCTCTGAAGTCCACCTAAAGGTGCTTATAGCCTCGTCGCCCAGTAGAGCAAAGACGTAGAATGTACACAGTAGAGGCAGTCACAGAATATTAGATGAATGAAGAGATGAAAGATGTATGATTTAAAAAATTTGTCTATTTTAAGTGTACAGTTCAATAAGTTTTAACAATTATGTAGCATTGTGTAGCCACTACCATAATTAAGATACAGAATATTTCCATCACTCCAAAAAATTCCTTCACGTGCCTTTGCAGTTAATCCCCTCCCTGCATCTCAGCTGGTGTTTTGCTTGTCGTTATAGTTTTGCCAGTTCTAGAAGGTCATTTAAATGAAAACATACAGTATGCAGACTTTTGCGACTGGCTTCTTTCACTTAGCATAATGCTTTTGGGATTCATCCACTTGCCAGTAGCTCATTTCTTTTTGTTCATGACTATTATTCCATTGTATAGATATATCACAATTTATTCATCACTTGATGGATGGTTGTGTTCTTAGCAGTTTTGGCTATTATAAATAAAGCTGCTGTAAACATTCACAGATAGGTCTTTGTGTAAATGTTTTTTTCATTTCTTTTGAGTAAATACCTAGGAGTAGAATTGCTGGATTGTATGGTAAGTTCGTGGTCAACTTAATAAGAAACTGTCAAACTTTTCCATAATAGCTATTCAATTTTCTTTCCACCAGCCATGTAAGAGAGTTCTAGTTACTCCACATCCTAGCCAGAACTTGGTATTATGTCAATCTTTTACATTTTAGCCATTCTAGTAGATGTGTATGGTATCTTCTTGTAGTTTTAATTTGCATTTTCCAGATGACTAATGATGTTTAGCATCTTTTCATGTGCTTCTTAGTCATTTTTATATTTTCTTTGATGAAGTGTCTGTTTACATATTTTGCCCACTTTTTATTGCGTTTTCTTGTTAGAGAGTTGTAAAACTTCTTGATGTGTTTTAGATAAAATGCCTTTATTAGACATGTTTTGCAAATATTTTCTCCCAGTCTGTAGCTTGCCTTTTTCATTTTCTTAACAGTGTATTTTGAAGAGCAAACATTTTTAGTTTTGATAAAGTCCAATTTATCAGTTTTTTCTTTATGATTTGTGCTTTTTGTGTTCTATTTAAGAAATCTTTGCTTAACTCAAAATCACAAAGATTTTCTCCCACTGTTTTCTTC